AAACAAGTTAAAGAAGATAAGGTTAACCTTCTGATTTAGGAATATGAGTTATTCAGAATGAAGTAGGATGAAGACATTGAAACCGTGTTTTCTAGGTTTCAAATTCTTTTATCTGGACTTCAGGTTCTGAACAAGAGATACATTATCTCTGATCATCTCAAGAAGATTCTTAGAAGTCTTCCTGTCAGATATAGACCCAATGTAACAGCTATCCAAGAGGCTAAAGACTTAAACATATTATGTCTAAAAAGTCTTATAAAAAAATCTCCAAATTCATGAGACGGAGCTCAATGGAGATGAACCTGCCAAGAAGTCAAAGTACTTAGCTTTGAAACCTTCTACAAACTTGATGTGAAATTAACCTCCCTCAATGGAACTCTAAAACAAAAGGTTTATGTGAAGCAGACACCATGTTTTAAGGTAAAGGGAGCAAAAAAAGATGGTTTACAAGTTTAGAAAACCATTATATGGATTGCAGATATCACCTAAAGCATGGAACAAGATGATTAATAGCTTCTTCATCAAGTTAGATTTCAAGAAGTGCACATAAAAATATGGAGTGTATGTGAAAGGCTGAAGTGAGCAACATTAAGCCATCCTATGTTTCTATTAAGATGACATGTTAATCACATGTTTTATGAAGATGAAATGACAGAGTTCAAGGAAAACATGGAGAAATGAGGTTTAAGTGTCAGACTTAGGAAATTTCGCATACTTCATAGGACTGGAATTGTGAACACAAAGGATGGAGTTTTTTCGCATCAGAAGAAATACGCATAATATATATTGAACAAGTTCAAGAATGAGAAATCGCTAACTTGAAATCACACCTATGGAGACCAACATCAAATTGAAGAAGTAGTCAAAAAATGAACTGGTGGATATTACATTATACAAACATGTCATTGACACTCTGAGGTATCTTTGCAACACAAGAATAGACATTTGTCATAGTGTGGGATTGGTTAGACGATTTATGGATGAACCAAGGCTATGTTACCTACTTTCAACAAAGAGAATCCTGAGGTAGATTATAGGTACAATAGACAATGGAAAACTCATGCAAAAAGAAACAAAATATAAGACTAAAAACCCAGGTTTATATATATATATATATATATATATATATATATATATATATATATATATATATATATATATATATATATATATATATATATATATATATATATATATATATATATATATATATATATATATATATATATATATATATATATATATATATATATATATTCTAATTTATATTGGATTGGTGATTAAGATGATATAAAAACACAATTGGTTATTTGTTCATGCATAGAACAACACCAATATAATGGGGTTTAAAAGAGCAAGAAATTATGGCTTTGTCTTCATGTGAGATAGAGTATATTGAATCCTATTATGCTCCATGTCAAGCACTTTGGTTGGAGATTCTAGTTAAAGGTTTGAATGTGAACAATAGTGTGCAAATCAAGCAGATGGTGGAAAATTAGTCAAACTTTGATTTGATGAACAATGTCGAAATTTAATTCTACTGACGACAAGATGTTAGACACAAAGTTGGAATAATGTATATTATAAGTTAAATGAGTAATAGACAAAATAAAGGCGAAATATAAATATCATAGGAATTGGTAAGTCAGTTCGGTGCAAAATCACATACAGATGAAGGGAGATGACCCGATGAAAGGAAAGCCATTCTTAATATTCAGACATAAAAATTGGTCTGATTTGAACTCACCTAGTCCAATGTCTCTTTTCCTAATACTACCATTGAATTTCTATTAAGGACTTCCTCTGAATATGAGATACATCTCACTTTCACTCGAGCACTCTCCCAAGTGTTTATTCAGTTACAAAGATGAAAGATAAAACTCTCATACAACTCAAAACTCTATTCGTCTCATTTACAATTAATATTGAGGAATAGAGCGTACAAACTATAAATACAAAGACTCAACTAAAACTCTAATATATAGTAAATATTTTGCCTTGAGGTATGACTCTTCACAATGAAGATTACATCCTTAAATATCAACACAAAGTCATGATAGAAACTCTAGTAGAGTTTGGAGTTGAAAGTGGTCAAACCTCTAAAAAAACGTATGAAATCAATCTTCAACAATGTTGATTGTAAATATTGATTGATCATATCTAGAATAAGTTTGAATCTCTTGATTATAACAAATTCAGTCTTGTTGAATTCGATTCAGATTAAATGTTTCTTTTAATCAAAAGCGTGAATAATCAATCAAATCTACATTATGATGATTGTGATAATTGATTGATACAATCCGGAAGAAATGAGAACACCAAATGAAATCTGGTCAATAATAGATTTAGGATAAATCTTTTCCAAATTCAAACACATGCTAACACATTCATATCTTTGATTAGACAAAAAAATGAAACAAATCACAAAAGTGCGAGGTATACTTCAATCAACCTTACACACCAAGCAAATAGTTCGAGACAGGATGTCTCATAGAGTGTCAAATATTTTGCTTAACATGTTTCTCTTCATGTAAGATTTATTTAATTAAACTATTTCCAATCAAAATATTTTCTATCTGCTTTAGCATAATCTTGGACTGAACCAAATCTTGTAATAAACTTTGGAATCAACCATAAGATCAAATGAGACAAAATCAATCTTTCTAAAAATAGTGCAGTAGAGAAACACATAACCAAGATGTTCTCAAGAACTTTCGAGACGTCTTGTTTGACATTTTTCGTATAAAAATAAGACAATCCAAATGTAATAACGAACCTTATGAACTATGATAAGAGCAAGCATATAGAAAGTATGTATCATTTTCTTAGAGATCAAATTGATAAAAAGAAGTTGAAAATTGAGTATTGTAAAACTGAGTTGCAATTGCTAGATATCTTTAAAAAAAACCTTGAATCATATAAGATTCGATGACCTTAAAGGGCTACTGGAAATGTGGATCTTAGAACATCTGAATTAGGAAGGATATTAAAATATATTTCTGTTTCAAATATATAACTATTGATGACACTTTAAAAGTGTTAGCATTTATAACTTGCAAGACAAGGTAACTATCACAACAAGATATTTAGGTTTGTTAGAGCATCTATAATGCAGGTTTTTAATAGTTAAATTTTTTTTAGTTAACGATGATTATAAAAAATTTGCATTGAAATGGCTATGACATGGCATTTAATTCACTAACTTTTAGTTTCCGGCAATTATATAGCTAACGTATGTTATTTATTTTGAAACATATAATATTATTATTTATATTATTAAAGTCTTGTAATTACAATTAAAAAATATAAAATATAAGGTCAAATTTTAGTTTTTTATAAGCAACTACCATTAAAGTAAAAACAACTCAAATCTAAGGGAAGAGTTTAAAAACTTAGGAAATCTGGAAGAACTCATGGTGGAAGAAAAAATTAAAATGAACAGAGAATGTATATGAAGTTACACGAGTGTGGTCAACAGGTAGATTGGAAAACTTTGGTTTATGGGAATAATGCGAGACTGAGAGCCAATTTTATTTTGTGGTTTGCTTTCCATGGTTGATTAGCAACGAAGGACAAATTGCTTAAGTACGGTATGATTGATAATAATACATGTTGTTTATGTGCGAAGGAAGGAACATTAAACCATTTATTTTTTGAGTGTGAAAGTCTGAAGAGCATATGGAAAGAGATTCTAATATGGGCACAAATTAACCATAACCCTGGAGGTTGGCATAGCGAGGTGAAATGACTTATTCAACAAACCAAAGGAAAAGGAGTCCGAGTTGCCGTCATAAAAATGGCAGTTTCTGAGACAATCTATGAGATTTGGAAAGCTACGAATAACAAAAATTTTGGAGAGACGGTTGAGATCAATACAATAGGAAAGAATATTATAGATACACTGGTGTATAGAGGATTAAATAATAAAAAACTCGGGAAGTATATAGTTATCTTAATGATAGATGGGTGATAGATATCTTGGTAGTAGTTTGTTTTTTCCTTTTAGTCCTTTGATGATTGGCTTTGTAGCTGGATCCGATGGAACCGCTTATATTTAGTGATATTTTTTTATTAATAAAGTATTTTATTTTTAAAAAAAACAACTCAAATCAACTATAAATTTTTTAAATCCTACAAATCACTTTGGACCCACAAAAAAATATCTTAGTTTATCCAATTAATATATTTATACTAAAAATGCTCTTAGTTGGTTTTGAAAATCATTTAAAAATTCATAATTAATTTGTATTCCTTTATTCTAATAATATCTCTCTCTTAATTGCCTTTAATTTTTTCTAAAAATCTTTGAACTTGCAAATCATTTAAAACACAAGTTACCCAACACCTATGTTGTTCATACTATATGAATCTCGGAGGCTAATGCATTTTCATATTTAATTTTAAGAAATTGATTTAATAATAAAAAGAGCTTTTCTCAAAAAATTATATGTTTAAAATTTGAACTTATTAACCATTTTTAATGAGATAAATGTATATTATTTGTATTCATAAAGGTTGTATCATGATTTATATTGCTTTTTGATATTTTTAGGAGGATGTTTGAAGATGTATAAGATGAATCGGAACACTACTCTTTAAATTTTTTTATAGTTAAATTATAATTAAATAGAATCTCGTAATATATTTAATGGTTAAACTATGACGGATCTCTAAAGACGTTATTATATACTTTGTACTATTGTTAAAATCATTGATATTTTATATTATTATTTAAATATTATATTCTTTATAAATGATTAATTACTTCTTGTTAATTAAGTCGATTGATTTAGTTAATAGATATATCAATATTTTTTTATTAGTACATATTTGCCCATATTTTTTTAATAAAAGTAAATATTAATTAAATAATAACTGAACATTGAAAGGGTTGATCATTTATCATCTAGATACATCAGGCAGCATAATAAATCTCTATGACTCTGTGTTAATCACATTCATGGCACGACATAGATATAAGTAACAAATAAAACAACACTCTAGTTGTACTTTGGTGCAGGCCTGGGCATATCCTTGACGATACCGCAAACTAATTGGGTTTCAGGAAGATTATACTCATCCCTGTTAGAAAATTCTGGCGATAGAACACTAATGTAGAGTTGTTGTCCCAGGTAGCGGTTCTCAGCCTGCTCTGACCTCAAATTCCACATACCGGCATTGTCGAATGTCAACATGATTGCAGCCCATGACTTAGGGAACACCTGAATTGTGTGTCTGCTGATAGCATCAAGAAGGTTGTAGTTCTTTCTCTTCTCTGGTGTCCACGTTCCTGGCTCAATAGCGACGGCGAAGAAAGAGTAACCGCCTAAGTTGTAAGACTGGATGGTCTTTCCGTGGTTCTCGAAGATGACTTCGATGAAGGTACGGTAAGTGGCGTTAATTACATTGGGTGCAATAGTTATGGTGTTGAGATTGGCAGGTGGTGCGTCAGAGATAGTGTTGTACTTGAACACCTTATCAGCAACACCGTAGTATTCAGCGAGCTTCAAAGGAGTTTCGGTATCAACATGGGAAACACCGTTGATAGCGTAACGGAGCTTGCCATCGACGTGGCCAACGGAGTTAACGAGCTTAATAGTGCGGGTGATGTTGATCTGACCGTAATGGTAAGAACCCTGTGGGTTAGGTCTAGCAGCAGAAGCGGTTAAGTTCCATCGGAAAGATCGGAACTGGTTAAGAGACCAAGCCCAACCAACAGGTGCAGGTGGAAGAACAGGTGAAGCAGGACCAACACCATTGGTGTAACGAACAATACCCTTAGCGGCTAAAGAATACTTGGTGAAACGAGTGGAGGCAACCATGTAATAGTCCTTTGGCTCTTTATCGGCGGTCACGAGGACGGTGTAACACTGTCCAACGTGAACGTCGAGAGAGTCATAGTTGTTTTGAACGATATGAGAGCCTTCAGTTTCAACCAGCTTCATTGAATGTCCTTGGAATCTGAAGTTAAGAGCGTCCTTAAGACCAGTGTTGCAGATTCTGTATTTGTATGTTTTTCCGGGCTTCATTGTGAAGAGTGGTTCATCGCTTCCATCCCCCTTAGCATTTTTACCGTTCATGATAACTCCGGTGGGTTTTCCAATAGAACGACCACTGTCCAACATCATCTTCAAAGATTTATGAGACTTTCCGAACCAATCACCAATGAGAACCCAGTATTCATCTTCAGGGTCAGCATAAGGAACAGGGATCAACAAACGACTGAAGATTCTCAGACCACCGAAACCACCGATGGCTCTTTGAAGACCGGTGGAAGGGTAATAAAAGTAACTTCCGATTTGATCCTTCACTTGAAACTTATACGTGTAGTTAGTTCCGGGAAGGATAGGGCAAGAAGCACCAGGGGTACCGTCTTGCCATGAATTCTTCCTTTGTTGAATACCGTGCCATGTGAAAAGCAGTGGCTCATCAAGGTTGTTGAAGACATTAACGACAACGTTATTGTTGCTTGTACTGTTGATTTCAGGTCCGGGAAATTGACCATTGATAAGGATACCCTGTTGGGGTACCCCGAGAGGTGCAATGGTACCATAGGTAACATTCCATGTGAAAAAAAGGTAAGGATCTTCACCATAGACGGTGACGCCCAAGAGACATAGCATCAAAGCCACCACTGCGCTGCGACCCATTATTTTTTATTTTATTGAAAATAATAAAAATATAAAAATAATAAATAGATAGAAGAAGACAACCCTTTCCTATCTTCTTCTCGTATTGAAAGAAGAAGAAGATAGATGTTGTTGTTCTTTGGAATAATAATGTCATCCTTTTATACTAATGATTCAATGTTTTTACACCGTTCAAACTTTTCTGTTTTCCTAAGTTTTCTCTTGTCCATTCCTACTTAATAACATCGCCTTCTATATCGCTCTACTTCTCGTTTTTTCTTTATGGACTTTCCATAAATTTAGTTCTCTATTTTTAGATACTCTTCTTCTCGCCATTCATTGTTTCTCGCATCTCAACCATTTCCTACGTGCAAAAGAGACAAGTTGTATTGATTTTCTATCTTATTACTACATTACACCAATGCTTCCTATTATAAATTGCAATATACATTCGTACCAAAGAAAATGTTGATACACATTTGTGTAAAATAAACTCAATTGCATGACTTAATTCAAATATATATATATATATATATATATATATATATATATATATATATATATATATATATGACTTAATGATAAAAAAATTTACAGTACTTTTATTTATAATTTCTTTTTCTTTGCTGAGAACAAAACTTTGACATAATATTAGTTGTTGATAAAAGTAAAATTCGATAAAATCACATTCACTCTTTATTATTCTTCTATAGTTTTTATAACTCAATATTTTGTTTGTTTCTACGTTAGAAGAATTGCACTATTCCTTCTCATGCATGTATTGAGTTGCACAATACACGTGTGTAGTAAAGGTGCAATAAGTGAAGGAGTTTTATACAATTCTAGAAGAGTGTCTAGTTAAGAAGCATGAATGCATTAGAGCCTATGTATTAATACGTGTACCATGACTATGTAACAAATCAAGTCATTATGCATAATGCAATGAAGATTGCAATTTTATCATGGTATCATTTGCCTTATTTAATCTCTTCTACTCTATAACTAATTTCATTTCAATTGTAACTAACTTTCATTTACACTCTTCTTCAATTCTAAGAAGTGTGTCTCCGCCTTCTTTGTTATAAGCTTGATTCAAAAAATCGCTATTGATTGCACCCGATCTGAATTCATCACATCACTTTGTTTCTAAACTCTTAATCAAACTACAAGATAATAAATATTTCATGTGAAATTAGCTAGTTGAAGGAGTTATCTTCACTTAAGGAATGCACAAACTAGTGGTGAATCCTCAAACTCCGCAGAAATTCAAGACAGGAAAATATTGTATTGAAAGAAAAGTCTCTAAAGAATATGTATATAAGACCGTACAGGACCAAGATGTATTCATATGACTTCTTTCTACCATCTTAGAATTTGTTCTACCATGAGTTATGTCATGCAAACATGCTTTTGATGTATGAGACAAAATTCATAGAATGCTCATATGAAGGTGCGAGTTAGACAACTTCACGTTGAGTTGAAATCAATGAAGAAATTTAATTGATCAATGGTTGAATATGTTATTTAGACTAAAGACATTTCCAACCCCTCAGTTGTTGTTGTTGAAGATGTTATTGAAGACCAACACTAACTGGTCTAAATAAACCTAACACTAACTACTTGTTAAACTATAGGATTGGTCGTGCTCATTTTCCTTCTATTAAACTTGTTTAAAATATTGTAATATAAATTTCTCTAATAAAGGAAAGTTTTGTGAAGTCAAGTCTCTTATGAAGATGTTTTGATAAATACAAATATATGGAAGAAGGAAAAGATTCAACAAGGAAGTTTCAAGTCAAGTTTAAAGCTTATTGGTTATGATTCAAGGTTAATTCAACGCAATTGAATTGATCAAGTTATGGAAACTTGAAGACAATCAAGATAAACTAAGGTACAATATGTTTTTCATATGATATAGACCTTATATGTTCAAAGAAAAAATTTCAAACTCATTTTATACATTGTTTTCAAAATGGAAAAAATTGGCATTTTCAACTTAGAAATTTTTCTGAGTATATGGTTGGTTAATCGACTAACCCGACCTTGCCAATCAATTAACTATGTCTCTATTTGAAGCAAATTTTGATTTTCATTAAGGTCAATTGATTACCCTCTTGGGTCAACCAATTAACCATTCCAAAATTAAATAAGTAAATCGATAAACCTAGTTGTTTTTCACATAATTTTTGAACGTTATGGAAAGAATAATCAATTACCATATGCATGTCAATCGATTAACCTTTGGGTCATATTGAAAAATTTTGAACCTTTGCCTTACCTCTTCATCTCTAATTATCATAAAACCTTTTCATAACATTGCAAATGATTATAAATATTTTCCAACCATTGTTTCTAAAAAAATTCAAGAGGTACATGATTCATTACAAATAGAAGGATTTTTCAAATTCAAACTCACATATTTCCTGACATATTTTACCGTGTTCATAATATTTTCACAGAAACTTTTTTACTGCATAATTTTTATATCATATAAAAAGTTTCATCTTCTTCTTTGAACACTTGAGTTATATGTTATTTGATTATATTGTTTCAAGAAAGGGAAGAACAAATTTTACAAATGTTTGAAAAGTGTCCAAACACATTTGTACTCAAACTATATTTCATTTGTGTATCTGTATTTTGTAACTTGTTTATCAGGTTGTGATAACAAGTGTGTAAAAGGGAAAGTAGATTTCTTTCTTTTGATTGTAAAAGTATAGAAAATGATGTGCTTTCTTACTTGTGTTAGAGTTTTGTAAAGAGAGTCTTAGTGGGAGACTGTAACAAGAATTTTGACATACTAAAATCTCTCACGACGTGTGAGGGGACTGATGTACTCTTGTTTGGAAAAAGGAACCAGGATATATCATTGTGCAATTTACTTTACTATATTTATTTTTTAGAAAATCATTTCATTCATTTAACCAATAAAATAAGCCATCACTTTATTAATATAAACCAATAAAAGTAATATAGTAAAATTTCCAATATCAAAAATTTGTCACCAACTCTATAAATTTTCTAAACACTTAATTCACACACCTCTCTTAGGTGCACTTTAATCTTACAAATTTTTGGTTTGTAAATCTTGTTGTTTGAGAAAACCTCATAGAATGCATGCCCCCTTATCATCTATTGTGTATACTACTCCTTTTGAAGTTGTTCACACCGATCTTTCGGGCACTACGCCTCACCTTTCTAGTTATGGTTTTCATTATTATTTTTCCTTTATAGATGCTTATACCAAGTACACTCGGAACTATTTCTTGTAAAGAAGTCAGAGGTCTTCCATACCTTTAAATTTTTTCTCAGTTTTGTTAAAACTCAATTCCATACCACCATAAAGGCATTACAATCAGACTTACTTAAGTTAGGTATCTCACATAGACTGACTTGCCCCCATACCTCCCACCAAAATGGATTTGTTGAAAGGAAAATGGACATATTCTGGAGATGGGGCTTACATTGTGATGTCACTCATCCATTCCTCTAAAAAATTTGAGGACCATAGTTTTTACACTTTTATGCACATTGCTGGCTTGACCAAATTTTGCTTTCCCTTTCATGTCTTTTATCTACAAATCTATAAGTCTATCAAGGTTTTTGGATGTGTATGTTTTCCTTTTACAAGACCCTATAACAAGCACATGCTTGAATTTAGAAGTCAAATGTATGGGTATTTAGAAGTTTCATCTTAACGCAATGGCTTTAAGTGTCTCATCAAATTTGGTAAAGTTCTCATATCTATGGATATTGTGTTTAATGAGCACCGCTTACCTTTTCTTGCTATGTTTAAATCCAACACTACCTCTCCAAGTCAACTAATGTTTAGTCTAAGTCTCTTACTTTTCCTCGATTGTCTTCTCATCATACACCTAATATAATTTTCACTATAATATCAACTTAATCCTTCAATTTGTGCAAGACACCACTGAAGATGAGAAAAGCACAAGAAGAGGTGTTGAATTATGTTAAACTTTTCTTTCTTTTTAAAACTATTGGTAAGATTCTAAACACAAGTTATAAAATCTAATTCAGTCAGAGGTAGGAAGCATATATAAAATGTAAGAAAGAAGAATAACACACAGAGTTATCTTGGGTTCTCTCACAACTTGAGAGTAATTTAGTCCCCTTGTACTAATAAGATATTTTTACTATAATCACACAAGATTAAAATTTTCTCAAGCAGACAAGCAAGAGACTTCCAATGCTCAAATACTAAACTGAGAGACTCTTATGCTCAAGCACACCGGCAAGAGACTTCTAATGCTCAAACACTAAAGTAAGAGACTTCTATGGTCAAGCATACATGCAAAAGACTTCAAATGCTCAAACACTTAGTAAGACACTTCTAACAATCTACCTAGCGGATAAATGATTGTTTAAGAAAATACACATGATATACAATTAGAGGTGTATAAAGAATATAATGCAAATAGACTCTTTTAAGAGTTAGAGATTTCTAGAGTATACAAGAATAAGAAATCATAAGTTTTGCTTGTGCTTTATTTTGACAGAGTAAATTCTCTTTTTAATGTCAAATAGATACAATAGTTTTCTTCAAGTTTTCAGCTCCTTAAATAGATAAGGAAAAGAGTCATTGAAGATCCAGCACAATAGAGTCCTTTGAGAAGCTTAAAAAGAGGCGTTAGGATGTTTCACCAAATAGTTGAGGTTGGCGAAGGCTAGTTCGAAATCCCTTTTTTAAAGAAGGAATTAGAAGTTGTATCCTAACATACTCTATAAACATCTTGAAAATTCACATTCTTGAAAGATTTTAGCATCCAAGGTATGAACTCTTAACACCACACTATTTGTTATTCTTGAAAGAATCTTCCTTCTTGTTCTTGAGATGAAAAGTCATCAGAGAGATGGGTAGGAGAGGGGAATCTTAATTTCTTAGGCTCTATGACGATGATTTTGGAGTACTAAAATATTATTCTTAAAGAACAATAAAGAGATAAGAAGAATAGAATAAGAGATGATGTAAAATAGGGGAATATGAGTACCTATTTATAGCA